GAAAGAAGTGAAACATATATGGGAAGAAGGTATCAGAAATAATAGTGAAAGAAAACATGCTTTATCTCTACAGAGAAAAACACAGAAGATAAAAAAAAAAAAACAAAATAACAACATCAAAAAAGAAGTTAAAACACTATTCACAATAGCCAAGTTATGGAAACAGCCAAGATGCCCCACCACTGACGAATGGATTAAGAAAATGTGGTATCTATACACAATGGAATTTTATGCAGCCATGAAGAAGAACGAAATGTTATCATTCGCTGGTAAATGGATGGAATTAGAGAACATCATTCTGAGTGAGGTTAGCCTGGCTCAAAAGACCAAAAATCGTATGTTCTCCCTCATATGTGGACATTAGATCAAGGGCAAACACAACAAGGGGATTGGACTATGAGCACATGATAAAAGCGAGAGCACACAAGGGAGGGGTGAGGATAGGTAAGACACCTAAAAAACTAGCTAGCATTTGTTGCCCTTAATGCAGAGAAACTAAAGCAGATACCTTAAAGCAACTGAGGCCAATAGGAAAAGGGGAACAGGTACTAGAGAAAAGGTTAGATCAAAAAGAATTAACCTAGAAGGTAACACCCACGCACAGGAAATCAATGTGAGTCAATGCCCTGTATAGCTATCCTTATCTCAACCAGCAAAACCCCTTGTTCCTTCCTATTATTGCTTATACTCTCTCTACAACAAAATTAGAGATAAGGGCAAAATAGTTTCTGGTGGGTATTGAGCGGGGGGAGGGGGGGGGCGGAGTGGGTGGTAAGGGAGGGGGTGGGGGCAGGGGGAAGAAATGAACCAAGCCTTGTATGCACATATGAATAATAAAAGAAAAATGAAAAAAAATAAGTTAAAAGAAAAGCTTCAGTCAATATTTCTTCCTTATTGAGGAGAGGATAGATTCTCTGCACCCCGGCTGTGCTTTTCAGATGGGACAGGTTTTCTTTGAAGTCCAAATAGGACTACAATACTATAATACTAAAATCCTTGGATTCCCTTTAGGCTTGCCTTATATGCTGTTAGCTGATATTTTAGTTCTACCATTTCTAAACTGAAATATAAAATAAATTTTTATCCAGTTATGCTCATCATTCTATTTATTTCTTATTGTTCTCTACAACTTACACTATCTTTCTTGCATCTCAGACTTTCAAGAGTCACTTTCCTTTTCCTGAAAAGAATATGTTTTCCTGAAACATACTCTGTAGAAGGTTCCTTTACTGCAGACATCTCATAGTGATAAATTGTCTACTTTTTTTCAATCTATAAAAGTCTTCATTTCACTTTTTTTTTTTCCAGTGCTGGCATTTGAATTCAGAGCCTACACATTGAGCCACTCCACCAGCCCTTTTTTGGGGGAGGAATTAGGAGGAAGGGTTTTTTTTCAAGATAGGATCTCGCAAACTATTTGCCCGGGTTGGCTTTGAACTGTGTCCTGATCTCTGCCTCCTGAGTAGCTAGGATTACAGGTATGAACCACCGGTGTCCAGCTTCACTTTTATTCTTTAAAATTTTTTTTTTCTACTAGGCATGGTGGCACATACCTTTAATTCCAGCACTTGGAGGCTGAGGCAGGAGAATTAGGAATTCAAGGACAATCTAGACTACATAGTGAGATCCTGTCTCCAAAAAAAGGTTTTCTTTTTATTTTGTTTTTCTCTGAGTACACAATTACAGATTCATGATTATTTCATCTTAGCACTTAGAAAATATTAGTCTTCTATCTTTTGGCTCCTGCTGTTGCTATTGAGATGTCTGTTGTCATAACTGTCAATCCTTTGTAGGTGACTTCAGTTAAGATTTTCTCTGTCTTTAGAGATGTGTAGATCTTGCTGTGTGCTTATTTTTATTTACTCTACAGGTATTTAATTTTCTTCCTCTTATTTATTGCTATTGCCTCAGCCCAAACTGCTCTAACTTTTTCAAATCTCCAATCTGTAGCATTCTACTTCTCCTTATGATAACCCATCCACACCTGGAAGTAGACAGGCTTTTTCTTGCATCAGGGCTTTGCTCTTCCTTTGACCTAGGAAAAAAGATGGGAAGAGCCTTCCCACCACTCTGCCTGCAAACTCTGACTGCTTACATCTCAACTCAATATAACTCCTTAGAGAGGCTTTCTCCTTGACCAAGCCCTTCCCTAGTCTAAATTGTCAAAACATTTATTTACTCTATGCTACAGAGCACCATTTTCCCTATGCTTAGTCCTTGTCTCTCTAACTGTATACTGATATGTTATTTGTTAATTCTGTTTTCCACGTTTGTCTATAAACTATAATGGAGCAAAGACCACATCTGATTTTATTTACCACTCTACAGTCAGAGCTTAGCACAGACCTCATCCTAAATTTCTGTTGAATAAACAAATGACCAAATACAAACCCAACTTCCTTTACACAGTATATAACAGTACTTCTAGATCTAGCCCCTGTCTACTTTGCAGCCTCATCTCCCAACTACCTTTGCCCCCTTCCTATCTCACACTTTATTTAAAAGTATCCTCTTCCATGCCCTAGTGACTTTGCCCTTGTTTCTTATTCTCTTTCCCTAAAATGCTACTCCCTTAGTCTGCAAATTCTATCCAGAAAGAAACCTCTGTAAAGCCTTCCTTTACAAAATTTGCCCACATGTGGGCAGAGCTGTTTGACCCATTTATGCCCCTAGCATCTCAATCATAGCCTGTCCCCCAGAACACTCTAATTACTTTATCTGTAAGATGAAGCCCTAAGGCCTCCTGCTCCTCACACACTGAGCAGTCAAGGGGACAGACCGAAATGCCTTAGAGAGGAGGAAGTGATGGTGCCAGGTCTTTGAGGAGATGAAAGGAGTTAGGAGAGTAAGCAAAGGTCAGAAAAA